GCTGGTCCTAACTACACTTTCTTGTTTAAGGTAGTTTCATAATAAGTCAAAATAATATAATATAAATTCTCTAACTAAGTTTTTAATAATTAAGATTGGTCTTTATTCAAGATTTTTTTCTAATTCAAACTAATCTATAAATTTTAGAATAATTTTAGAATAAATATGTTAATTTTTAAAAATCTAAAATTTTAATTGAGGTTTGAATATAAATCAATTTTGGAAAAATTAACAAACTATTGAATGTTTTGATTTATGAATATGGATTTATCCATTTATTATTTGCTTAAATTTCAATGATGTTTCAGTACAGAGGTCTCTCACATTTTTCATTAACTCTATTTATTTATTGTCATAGGACATGTGTACTTGCAAAAGAGAGAGAGGGAGAAAACGAGAGAGAAAGTGAGAAGGCATCCTCCAGGGAGATGGCCATACCTCAATCCTCTCTCTTCTATTTTCCTCTTGGGATTTTGGGCACAAATGCACACACACATGGTGTGTTTTTCATATTGTTGTGTCTAGAACCCAAGCTGTGCAGTCACTCATATGAGATCAAGCCACATTAAGCACTATGCCAGTGGCCGCCCTCATTACTTTTATTTCTAGGTCATGATGCTTTTGATACTATTAAAAATAGTGTTCCTTTTTTTCCACCCCAATTTGTGCTAGTGTTTAGTTTTAATTTTAAATAAACAAATTATTAGGGCCAGCCGGCGGCGTAGTGGTTAAGGTGCTAGATGCCCACATGGCTGACTACGTTTGAGTCATACACTGATGCTTGAAACTCATACCAGGCGTGTGTGTGTACATGCCCAAAATCCCAGGAGGAGAATGTAGAAGAGATTGCAGTGTGGCCATCCCACCTGGGGGATGATGTCTCATTTTTCCTCTCAGTGTTTCTTACTGGCCCTCTCTGGTGTATGCACATGCCCTATGGCAAAAACCAAAAAAAAAAAAAAAAAAAAAAAAGAAAAAGAAAATACTATTAACCATTTATTTTTGTGACTTTGCTAAATTCACTGATTAGCTTTGCTACTGTTTTGTTAGATTCCAAAGAATATTTCACATATAATCATATTGTCTGTAAGTATTGATAATTTAATGATTTAAGTAATTTTTGTACCTTTTATTTCTAATTTTTGCCTATGACACTAGCTACAACTCACTGTACATTTTTTAATAGAAGTGGTATGAGGGAATATCTTAACTAATTACTGATTTTAGGGTAAATCATACAGTATTTTACCACTCATCATAATGTTAGATATACATTTTTCATATATCTATTCACCAGGTAAAGTTCCTTGCTGTTCTTAGTTTGTTAAGAGTTCTGTCATGAACGAATGTTAAATGCTTTTGCTACATTAGTTGAGATGGTCATGTGATTTTTCTTTTTTCTTTTTGTAGTGTAGTAAATTATATAAGTTGAGATTTGAATATTAAACCAATCATATATTTGTGATAAATTCCACTTTGTCATGATCTTTTTGATATAGTACTAGATTTGTTAATTACAGATTTTTACATTCTTATTTATGAACAGTAATGAATTATACTTTTCTTATTTGTAATATTTATGTCTAGTTTTTATTAGGGTTCTGTTAGCCTCTTTTAAAAAAGATTGTTTTATTTATTTATTTTAATTTGACCAGAGAGGGGATAGAGTGAGAGAGAGAGAGAAAGTGAGAAAGCAAGCCACTTGATCCATGGTCAGCCCTGTGGTAGTCCAGTGTCCTTAACCACCATGCCACCTTCCAGCCCCTCTGCTGGCCTCTTAACAGTTGGGGAGAGTCTATTCCTCCTTTATTCTGATTTGATTTCTTTTAATAAAAGAATTCATTTCTTTTCTTTAAATGTTTGGTAGAAATTATTGGCAAAATTTTCTGAAATTGGAGTTTTCTTCATTGAAAAGGTTTTGACTGTATATTTCTTTAATAGATAATTGTACCAATTTCAATAAGTAATTTTTTAATGGATTTTGTTTATTTCATCTGTTCACTTATTCTTTTATATAGGACCTTTTTCAAGACTGGCCTAGGAAATTTATGTTTTTTCTCTTGTTTCTTGATTATTCTTGCTAGGATTTATCAGTATATCTGTTTGTTTAGACATGTTAACTTTTTACTTTGCCTTTAATCTTGTTTTTAATTTTGTATTTTATTAATTATTTTCTTTCTTTTACTTTTTGGGTTTGATTTGTTATGTTTTCTCTAGCTTCTTTAGGTGGGAGCTTAGATTGGTTTGGAATTTTTCATATGTTCATCATAATCCTTTTACGGTCACCGTTTGGTACTTCTGATAGTTAGATCATCTCCGCAGCTGCTTGTATTGCATGTTTTTCTCCTGATTTGAGATAGAATTTTCTTGCATCTCAGAGAACCATGGGAGATTGCTTTCAGCTCGTCAATATGATTTCTAATATTCTGGATTGCTGGAGAATTCTATCTGACCCTCTAGTCTTTCCCTTGATTTTTTGCTTTTTATAGATTTCTCTCTATCCAGTGTAGTAGAAGATGGGAGCTTCTTGGAGGGACATCTACCCCGGCTTTCAGCAAGCTATGGCTTTGTATTTGGGGAAGAAACTGTATACCTGGACAGGGGGAGAAAAGGAGAGGGTCACTCTTACCTGTACTGTTTCTATGTATTATTTAGTTAAGGATCATTGGAAAGAATTGCTGGGTAAGGACATATGTGCTCTGTGGATGGAACTCTTCAGAATTCTAATCTGTCACACTAGCTTTGAGTGATTTCTCACAGGCTATGGTAAACTCCTTCCCTGAAGGAGGATTCTCTTTCTGCCAGGAAAGAAAGCAGATATAAACCTCTTCTATCCTATGAAGGTTTAAAAAGTCACAATTTAATTCTTTTAGTGTTTTTTTTTTTTTAAATAATCTTTTCTTTCTGTTGGATTTAAAAAGACTGTGGATATGTAGTTTATGTGGTATATTCTCAGTGTTGTTGGTGGTAATCTCTTGCAATTTTCTATATTCTAATCAGAAATAAAGTACTTGGACTGGTTTTTACAAGGTATATAAAAGCCATATGACTGAAGGTTTATGAATAAAGTAAAAATATATCTCAATGTTTATAATTATGCCTCATTTAAAAAAATTGATTCCTATTACGCAGCTTTTTCATATAAATATTCTTACCAGATACGCTTTCAGTGTTTCTTAAATGCTAATCTGTAGTTTAAAGAACATTTGTTGCCATTCAGATATTTAAAGTCATTCTATAAAATACCTCCTATTAGCCAAAAGGAGAAATTTTAGTAAATATTTTGAGCAAAACTCAGAAAAGTTTTAAAGAAGTATACTTTTTTTTAAATTCAAGTCAAACTGTATCCAGCTTTATTAGAGATACTTTTCAGAAACAATCATATTTCACGCAGGACATGAGCAGGTAGTCATTAATAGTACACAACAATTGTCAGGCTCTCTTCTTCAATAGACTACCAAAATCAGAAAGGCATTATAAAACCCAATAAGTCTTCATTTGATGCTCTGAACAGGGAAAGCTGAGAGTGAGGTTTGACATTTCTCATTTAGCATATGTTATTTAACAACTTTTCACGAGACAACCCTGACTTCTGGGAAAGGGAAATGGCAGATTATCAACCTGAAGATCCAACAATATAGAAAATGAGCTGCTGCTCTTTTGAAGGATGCCATCTTAATGTCAGATTGCCTGACATACTGGTAACCAATTTTTTGTGGTCAGGTTCCAACAGGTCTCTGGTTTAAGAGAATTAAGTCTATACTGAAGGCAGAGAAGGAGAGGACATAAAAACAAATGTTAAGTTTTCCATACTACACATATCCACTTCAAGGTGGCTATGTCTGTCAACATCAATGAATCCCTTCTCCTGGGAACCAAGAGAAAGTCTCTAAAAACTAGAAGGGAAAGATGTTATCCAAATTAGTCCAGCTTCAGAGACATTCTATTAGTGACAAATAACCCTTCCCCCCAAAACAAAAAGGAAGTGTTCTGTGTACCAACAACATTACTTTTTTAAAAAAAGGTAAAATGGGGACCAGCAGTTGGCGTAATGGCTATGTTGCTGGACTCCCATGTAGTCAACTGCAGTTCGAGTCCCGGACCCAGTGACTTAAACTCATGCCAGGCACGTGTGTATGCGTGCCCATGATCCTGAGAGGAGAATGGAGGAGAAGGGGTTGTGGTGTGGCCATCTCCCCTTCGGGGATGATTTCTTACTTTCCATCTCTCGGGTGAGCACACATTCCCTATGGCAAAAACCTCTCTCCCCACCCGAAAAGAAAAGTAAATAAAAATTCTGCATTTTTATAAAACTTGATAAAAAATAGTATTTCCAACTGTAAAGTCACCAGGAGTACACAGATACCAATAATGCACACTTCACTTCGCATCTCCAGCACCTCCAGCTTTCTGTGCCTGATCTATTTGGGCATCTCCATTTTTTACAGGGTTACTCCCATCCTTGGCAGCATCAGCTTTTCTTTCTTTTCCTTTGTGGACCTTCTCTCCCTTCTTTGCAGGGACCTTTTTAAGCTTGGGCTGTGGCTTTGGAGGAGCAGGTTTCGCAGACAACCTTGCAGATCTTCTCTGTGGTTCGTCCTTCACTTTGGCTTTATCTCCTTTAGCGTCTCCTCCAGCCTTTCTCTTGGGCTTGGTGGTGACAATGGTAGGATGAAGATGCTGGATGCGGAGGATGCAGCAGCATGCAGATTTTGGTCTTTCCAGGGGTCACTCTCACCTCTTCTTCCAAGAAGTAGAGTTTTACAAGACAATTTTGAATTAAAAGATTTTTCATGGTCTTCCTCACCCCTCGTTTGTTGTCCTCTTGCATTAATATGTGTAAAATTTGGCTCTTTAAAACACATCTACATTAGTTTTAAGGACAGTCATGCATTAACTGTATTCTAACTAGGTATAATTAAAAAATAAATGTGTAGTGGCTTTATTTGTCTTTATTTAACTAATATATTTAACTTTCTTTCTTTTTTCTTTTTCTTTAGGAATACTAAAGCCAGAAGTTTAGAACCGAAACAGCAACATGGTTTACCATATTAAATTTCTTTGGATAGTTCTGGTCCTGATTCTCCAGAGTTCTGTATTAGCTGAAGATGGAGAAATAAGATCAAGTAAGAACTATCAGTATCGTCCTTTTCTGTTATCAAATTGATGCTACAGATCAAACTTGGCAGGGAGGGTTCAAACACTGGTTTTAAGGATCTCATTCTTATTGGCTTTGAAGCTGTAATTCCCTAAAATTAAAGAATTGCTATACTATACATTGTCTGAAAGAAAAAGCTTATCTCAGCAGTAATTATGTGATAACTCTGGTAACACTTTATTCTGTTAACCCATCAACCTTTGGAATAAACAGTATAGTATTGAGTTCATGCTAGTCACGTTTGAACTGCGTGATAGAGAGAGAGTCTGTCTCATTTGTTTCTCAGGACTGATTGAGGTAACTCATGTACATGGCTTAGCATATGATTATTATTCTGATTACTTTAGGAAAGTTTGGATTAGAGATGGAGAGGTGTATGAATCAAATTTCTGATACCCATCATTTATAAATATCATACTTCTTTTTAGAAGTTTATTAATATTCAGGGACCAGCAGATGATATCATGGTTATGTCACTGGATTTCTACGTAGTTGACTGTAGTTTGAGTCCCGGACCTGGAGGCTTGTAACTCACACCAGGTGTGTGTGTATACATGCCGAAAATCCCAAGAGGAAAATGGAGGAGAAGGGATTGTGGCATGGCCATTTCCCCTGGGGGGGGGGTGATTTCTCACTTTCTGTCTCTCTGGCAAGTACTCGCACCCTGTAGCAAAAATCTATAAAAAAGAAAGAAAAGAAAAAGAAATGTGCTTATATTTGTATTTTAAAACTTATGCACATAAACATTCTACTGTAAATTATCATTTCTATAACCGTTAAGTCATATGGTTTGACAATTTGATTCAACTAGGCTAAAGTTTATTAGAACTACAATATTTAGTGCTTACAGAGTACATTTATTGTTTAATCTACCAAGCACAAGTACATCTATTGTTTAATCTACCAAAAGGATATCTAGAGATCTTTTTGTCTGCTTTTTGATTTTTTGTTTTGTTTTGAATGAGAAAAGAGGCTCATAAAATTTAAGAAACTTAACCTATTGTCACTCATCTGACTAGACTGGTAAGTAGTATTTGAAGTATGCTTTTGATTTTCGATCACATTCCATTTCTATGACAACATTCATCTCTCTAAAGATCAAGTCTCTTGGAGAGGGGTATTTTGTCTGGGACTTATAAATAGTGATATTTGCTTTTGTACCCATGCTCTTAGCTAAGCTTACAGTTATGAAATGTTCTGTGGCTCTGTGACAAAGAAAGGGGTAGGAAGGGCCAAAAATAACTCTGCTAAGAGCTATAACCACTGAACCAGGTGGCACCCAGACACTAGCAGGATCAGACAACAATGAGCCTCAGTATTTTAGAAGAGCCAGCATTGAAGAGCTCTGCAAACACAATTCCCCTTAACCCCCAAAGAAAGCATAACCCCTTAATCCTAGACACATTTCCAAAAATAACAGAAGAATTGCATTCCCTTGGGTTAGAAAATTTGCCTAAGGGCAGAGTTCCATTTCTGCTGTCCATGCCCTAAACTCTGGCAGTGGTAGCCATGGCAGATGTTGGGTTTGCATCCCTCACATCCCTTCTCAGGACACCACCCTCTGCAGTATAGCACCTTCAGAATAATGTCCTAGTCACAATTTAATTTTCAAAATAAATCCATATTTTGGCAATATTTTTGTGTTTTCGTGACCGTTATAAATTTTCACCTAACAAGTGTTGAACTTTGCTGGTGACAATGATGGGCAAGTTAAGAATACTCTGAAATAGAGACATTTTGTTGTGAATCTTGTCACCATCCCAGATACTTAATAGAAAGATAAGGGAAAAGAAGAGAAGAAAGAGAGAGATTGAGTTATACCTAAGGAAATGCAAAAATAAATAGATTTCTGTCACTAAACAATTTTTTCTTGATAGCATTATTTGAAATTATGATATCTTATTTGTAAATACATTTAGAAAACAAGTTGTCTTATTGTAACTTTAAATTGGACATCTAATCACCATTAATATTAGTAAAAGCATACAACTTGAAATTTGCTTTATTATGTGTCTGCTTGCTTCATTCTCTTTCCATTTACCCTCTTCAAGGGTATGCCACTTTTCTCTTGTGATAAATGTGAATTTGCTAACTGTAAAGTAAAGCATGAATATAAAATGACTGCCTAATCATGTGGGTTGTAATAGTAGTTATTTTTGCTGCAGTGAGTACGTGAGTTAAAGGAAAAGAAGCAAACGTAGCTGTATCTTTCCATGCACTCAGTTAGCCATGCTAAGCTACTGGAATTGTCCAAACAATCCAGTTTGTCTCTTCGTGAATATCTGCCTTTCATGTCTTGGCTTTTGCACTTGCAGTTCCTTTTGATTAAAATGTCATCTTCTTCATCTGACAAAGTTCTCCTTTTAGATCTTGGGTGGTCTGTTGATTTTACCATAAAATCTTCTCTGACTGGGGCCAGCAGGTGTCATGGTGGTTAAAGGCTTTGGACACCTACATGGCCGACCATAGTTCAAGTCTTGGAACTAGTGGCTTACTTTCTCACTTTCCCTCTCTTTCTCTAATCCAAGTGGAAAATAATAATAAATAACACTAAGTAAAATAATCCTTTAAAAAGAGAAATCTTCTCTAACTTTCCATGCTTAAGTTGCTACCTCCTCCTAAATGTTCTTGTAGTGCTTTGTACCGACCAGTTCATTGTCTCTGTTAATGGAGGGTAAGTTTTTTGAGAAATCTTATTTATCTTTGAACCCAGTACCTAGTAAAATGTCAATCACAAAGTAGGTATTCAATATACATAGACTGGAAGAATGAAATAGGGTTAGAGGCATGCCATGTGTACTGTAGACAAGAGAGTTAAAAAAAAATATATATATATATATATTTGTTCTTTTTATAACCACTTGTAACTTGTCCAGGTGTAAATTGAACCAAAGATAATATTTTCTTTCCAATAGAATTGTAACATGTGCGGACCACATGTTTCTCCCGGTATCTTGAAACAAGAATCTTTATAGAGAACGAATAGCTTTAAACCCTTAACATAGATTCACTTAGCATAAGCTCATATTTTTTTGTTTGTTTCTTATTCCTTTGTGAAAAAAAAAAAAAACTATGTGTGGGGGAGAGAGTGGGAGAGAAAGATAGAGGAAGAAACAGAGAGGGAGGAAGGAGAGACAGTGATAGGTTTTTTTTTTTTTTTTGTTTTCTATAGGGCACTTGCACTCTCCAGACAGACAGAGACAGACAGAGAGACAGAAAGTGAGAAATCACCCCCCCCCCCCGTGGGAATGGCCATGCCGCAACCTCTTCTCCTCCATTCTCCTCTTGGGATCTTGGGCATGCACGCACACGTGCCCGGTGTGAGTTTAAGCCACCAGGTCTGGGACTCGAACCGCGGTCGACTACGTGGGAGTCCAGCGACATAGCCATTATGCTAACTGCTGGTCCCTGTGATAGGTATTTTTGATGGGTCTTGCTGTGTCACAAGCTTCCTGCTCCTACATGGTAAGGATTACAGCATGCATATCCAGGCCCGATATATTCAGGGTGGCCCAGGAACTGAGCCCAGTTTTTCCATATATCTTCCAGCCTTATAAGCAGTAGCACTGTGTATGCGCTGCTGCTGCTGGGGCTACAAACTGATGTTTTGACTGTATTATTGGCTGAAGGTTATCAATGAGACCTTTAGGAACTCACCTTGGATGCAGTGCAAGATTTGACTGCTTGGTGATCTTAGTTCATTGAACTTTTATCATCTGTACAAAAAATATGAAATTTTATTAGCTAGATGAGTTCCAAAGTTGGAAAAAAATTTTCATTTCTATGTGTTGGTTCATACTTTTTGTAAATATTCCAGATTAGCATTTAAGTAAATATATCTTATTGGTAGCTTAAAATAAACAATGATGTTAGTATATAGCTGACAATCATGTATTTAAGACCTCCTACTTTTTGCTTTCTGAATAACAGCTGTGCTCTGATGATTTTCTTCCCCACTTAGGTTGCCGTACAGCTCCAACAGATTTGGTTTTCATCTTAGATGGCTCTTATAGTGTTGGCCCAGAAAACTTTGAAATAGTGAAAAAGTGGCTTGTTAATATCACCAAAAACTTTGACATAGGGCCAAAGTTTATTCAAGTGGGAGTCGTCCAGTATAGTGACTACCCTGTGCTGGAGATTCCACTGGGAAGCTACGATTCAGGAGACAAGTTAGTGGCAGCAATGGACTCCATACACTACTTAGGAGGAAACACAAGGACAGGAAAGGCCATCCAGTTTGCACTTGATTACCTTTTTGCCAAATCCTCACGATTTTTGACTAAGATAGCAGTGGTACTTACGGATGGTAAATCCCAAGATGAAGTCAAGGATGCAGCAGAAGCAGCAAGAGACAGTAAAATCACCTTGTTTGCTATTGGTGTTGGTTCAGAAACAGAAGACGCAGAACTTAGAGCCATTGCCAACAAGCCTTCGTCTACTTACGTGTTTTATGTGGAAGACTATATTGCAATATCTAAAATAAGGGAAGTGATGAAGCAGAAACTTTGTGAAGGTAAGACAATATAATTTGGAAACAATTATTTAATGGCACTTACATTTTGGTATAAACTATCCATTAACACTGGTGCAGATAGTTGTGTTTAATGTCAAATTGTTTATGTTAGAATTCAGGTGAACAAAAATTTCTGTGTTTTTATATTTATTCTGGGTAAAGTTTGCACTTAGAAACAATTCTAGTCATCCCTCTCTGTGTTCCACATCTAGAGAGTCAACCAAGTGGATTAAAAAAAAAAATTAACAATAAAAAAATACAATAAGAAATCAATACAGTATTACAACCATTTATGTAGCATGTATACTATATTAGGTATTATAAATGATCTAGAAATGATTTAAAGTATATAGGAGGATGCAAATAAATAACCTGGAACCAAACTCTCAGGGAGACCAAGGGACAACTGCACTCTTAAAATCTATATATGGGAAGTATAATATTTTGTTACTTTTGTTATTTTTCCATTTAATTACAACATGCCTATTATGAAGATGGTAGAAAATAAGATATGGCATAATAATAATAATAATAATAATAAATATACACACACACCACATAATTATATCACTTCTTTTAAGTTTTTCTGTATTTTTTATTCTAGTCTTTTTCTTTTTTATCTAGTGTGTCTTAGAGTATATTAATCTGCCTAAATCAAGATACCCTTGTATATATAATATTGTACTCTACTTTTATATGCTGCTTTGTGTATATAGTCTTTATACTCTAGTAATATGATAGCAGACAGTCTCCTACTGTAATTTCATTTTAAATTCCTTACTTTTTTGTACAATTAGTTAATTTCTAATTTTGCTAAAATAACAGTGAATATTCTTGTACATAATTCTGAATGGGAATCTCTATTTCTTCAAAACAAAGAATAAAGTGATGTATTTTTAAGATATGGAAAAATTGTTAAAAATTGCACCTAAGAAATGTTTACATTTTCTTTCAAAAACATTTGAAAACAAAGAATAAATAGTCTATTAACTACAGAGTTTCCTGCCTGAATTCTAGCTTTATGTCCATGATTATTGCAAAGTATGGGGAAGTTCCAATTTTTTGAAAATCGTTAATCTTGTTAGGCATAGACATGTTCATGCTTAGATCATTTTCTTTGAGAGTAATTTGTTCTTATCTTTTATTTAATATTATAGGCATTTAATATGCCATATACTTAAAAAAGTAATAGAGTTTGATAATCTCTTATCCAAAATACATGGGACTAGAAGTGGTTCAAATTTCAGATTTCTTTGGGATTTTGGAATATTTACATATATATTTTGTATATATATGTAATATATATATACGTATATAACATATATATTTTGTATATATTCCCTTGGCAATGAGACTCAGGTATAAATATGAAATTCATTTGTTTTTCATATGTACCTTATACACATAGTCTGAAGATAATTTTATATAGTATTGCAAATAATTTTGTGCATGAAACAAGTTTTGTGTATATCAAACCATCAAAAAATATCAGCCACTCTTGTGGGCAATCTAGGATTGCCTGGCATCACTATCATTCCTGACTCTGAAACCGGTTTGGGTGGGTCTTCTTTCCCTTAGGGACACTGAATAAATTGAGTGTTGTGTGACAGTATTTTGCCCATGACCTGTTATGTGAGGTCAGATGTAGAACTTTCCACTTGGAGCTTCATATCAGTGCTCAAAGTTCTGGACGTAGGGGCACTATAGATTTTGGGATCAGAGATGCTCAACCTGTATTTGTATAAAATGAAAATGCCTTTTTTTGTTTGTTTGTTTACCTACAAAAACTCCAAAGGAGGGTGATTCCCATTTGATTAAAAAAAAAATTACTACATATTGGGACCAGCATTTGGCATAATGGCTATGTTGCTGAACTTCCATGTAGTCAACTGCTGTTCAAGTCCCGGACCCAGTGGCTTAAACTCACGCTGGGCACGTGTATGTGCGTGCCCAAGATCTCAAGAGGAGAATGGAGGAGAAGGGATTGTGGCATGGCCATCCTCCTTGGGGGGTGATTTTTCGCTTTCTGTCTCTCTGTCTCTCTCTGTCTTTTTGGCGAATGCATGCTCTATAGCAAAACAAACAAGCAAACAAACAAAAAACAAAAAAAACTCTCTCTCAAAAAAAAAAGACTACATGTTTGTGGGATAAGAATTAAATTATGCCATTAATTCTTCTATTTTCTTCATATTTATTTGGGTAAGATGGTAGAGAAAAACATTTAAAAATTTTATTAGGAATACTTATTCAAGAGAATATAGAAAATCAGGCACCTTTTGGGCTGGCCATAGAGCCTAGTGGTTAAGGGAATCATATCCCACATAGCTGATCTCTGTTCAAATTCCAGTCCCAGCTTGAAACACATACCAGGTATGTATATGCACATATGCAACAAGAGTCCTGACAGGATGAAAAAATAGAAGCAAGAGGATTATGGTATGAACATAATTCCCACTAGGGAGTACTGTTTCCCCTCTCTCTGTGTTTCTCCTTCTCTGGTGTGTGCATGTGCCCTGCAGGGAAGAAAAAAAAAAAGAGGAAAATTAAAGTTTTATCGAACTTTAAATAAAGGTACAGTGGACCAGCAAGTGGTGTAATCAAGGTGCTGGCCTCCCACATGACTGGTGCCAGTTCAAGTCCTGGACTGACCAGACACTTGAAACCCACGCTGGGTGCGTGTGCATGTGTGCCCCTGATCCCAGGAGGAGAATGTGGGCATGTGTGCAAGAATGCCCATAATCCTGAGAGGAATTGCAGAGTCACCATCCCCCTGGGTGATTTCTCACTTTCCCTCTCTATCTCTGGTGAGCACACACACTCTATGACCAAAAGAAAAAAAAAAGTATTGCTAGGAATTGCTCTGTATATTTAATTATTATAATAAACTTTTTTTTCCTAGAGAAAGTTTTACTTATTTTTACATTTATTCTAAAATATAAATTTATAAGTATTGTCCAACATTTGCCTTGCAAACTATTTCTGTGGATATATGCTTTGGGAAATTCATTCTATTAAAAAATTTAATTACACATCAAAAAGTAGTGTGGGTTGGTCCCATGGTCATAGTTGTTGTGGGGATGGCATATCTCTCAGGTTGAATCCTGGCCCTGGTAGTTTGAAAAGTACTCTGGCTTGTGTGCACACATGCCCCAAACACTGACAGGGTGGATAAATAGAGAAGGGATTGTGGACCATTCCCCATTTCAGGGCAGAGGATATTTCTCTCTCTCTCTGTCTCTCTCTTTGATGAGTGCATGCATCCTCTAGCAATTAAAAATAAGGAAAAGGGAAAAGTAGCTGTATTTCAAAAGGGTAAAACTTCTTCTAATCTGTTAAAAATCATACTTGAAATCTTGCCAAATATTTCTTCATCTACACTCAAAAAAAGAATGTAAGTAGTTTGTGTCTATTCAGTTCACCCATGTGTTGAACAATAGTCATCTTTTAACATGTAGTTTTTGAAGCTGTGCTTATGAAATATATTGATTTATTTTCACTTGATTAGATCATGATTAATGTACTAGACTAATTCATGACTGTATTATAGCAGCTTCGAATCAAGAAATTTATATTTAATTATCTGACAAGTTCACATGCTTTTTATGACATATAGTTAACCACTACATTGAAGTGCTTAACATACAGAATAACCATCTCTAATATTTTTATCTTTATATTCTGCTAAAGTGAGTCACAATGAACCAAAGGACTATCGACTTGTTACCACAGTTTCTTTTTGGTTTTTTTTTTTTTGGTTTTTTTTTTTTTGGTTTTTTTTTTTTTGGTTTTTTTTTTTTTGGTTTTTTTTTTTTTGGTTTTTTTTTTTTTGGTTTTTTTTTTTTTGGTTTTTTTTTTTTTGGTTTTTTTTTTTTTGGTTTTTTTTTTTTTGGTTTTTTTTTTTTTGGTTTTTTTTTTTTTGGTTTTTTTTTTTTTGGTTTTTTTTTTTTTGGTTTTTTTTTTTTTGGTTTTTTTTTTTTTGGTTTTTTTTTTTTTGGTTTTTTTTTTTTTGGTTTTTTTTTTTTTGGTTTTTTTTTTTTTGGTTTTTTTTTTTTTGGTTTTTTTTTTTTTGGTTTTTTTTTTTTTGGTTTTTTTTTTTTTGGTTTTTTTTTTTTTTGGTTTTGTTTTTAATCTCATGGATCTAATGCTTCCTGGGAGAGTAATTTCAGTACTTTTCTTTTGTCATGTTCACCATTTTTGTGATGAGCAATGGTTTCTTGATCTGTGTAAAAGTCTATTACTACTACTAATAGTTCTTTACCTCTCCTTCCTTCTTATGAACCACATAACCTGAGAACTATACTTTTTAGCACATTTAAAAGTGTACAGTATTATAAAGTATAAACAATGTTGTAGAGAAATTTCTTAACTTTTTCATCTTGCTTAATTAAAACTCTATTCCCATGAAATACCTAACTCCCCATTCTTCCAACTACCTAGCCACTGGCAACCACCATTCTACTTTCTGTTTCTGTGAGTTTTATTACTATAATACTTTACCTAATAAAATTGAATGATGTATTATTTGTCCTCTGATAGGCTTATTTCATAGCATAATTTTGGCAGGTTGTATATGACAGAATTGCCTTTTTTTATGATTGAATTAACTATTTAATTTTATGTGTATACTACAATTTCCTTATCCACTAGGCTATATGTGGACATGTAGGTTGCTTCCACATCTTGGCTATTGTGAATAATACTGCAATGGACAAAGAGAACAAATACTTCTTAGAGATCGTGTTAAAATTTTTAATGTAATTACTTAGAAGCGGGATTGCTGTATCATATGGTAATTCAGTTTTAATTTTTTGAACAATCTCTATACTGTTTTCTGTAGTGACTGAACCATTTCACATTCCACCAACAGTGTACTAGAGTTTCAATATCTTCACATCCTCACTAACACATTCTATTTTCTTTTGGGTCTCCCTATCCTCCTTCCTCCCCTTTCTTCTTCCTCCCGCCCTCCCTCTGCTCCTCCCATTTTCCTTTCTTCCTTC